CAGTAAAAATCTTTCTGCATTAAGCATTCACATTTCCTTTTTTGCAGGAAATGCAAATTCTCTAGTCAAGTTTAAATTTTGTTTTAAAGCAGTATTTTTGCTTTATGTTGATTTTTGTTTATGGTTCTTGTATAAAAGTTGTGTTTCTTCTTATTTTCCTGATCTTGTCTTCAACTTCTATCTTTATCGTTGCCCCGAAAACAACTCATCTCAACAGTTTAAACCATTTTTCTTATTCTTAGTTCTTTAAAGTTAGTTCAAATCTATTGAAGAGGAGTTGATATCTTACCTGTTGTAGATAGCTCTTTGAACAACCTCAGCTCTGACTGGACCAACAAAAATCTGTCTACAACAGATAAGATATTCATTATCACTTTTCCAAAGAACCCCACTTTTAAATATTTTTTCTTCCTTTATGTCTGCGTTGCCTCATTATTTCCTCTTAAAGAACCTCATTTTAATTCTAGATTTACTTGGTTTATATTAACCCTTACTAAGTCTCACAATACAGCATCCAATCCTGAGATAAAAAAACATTATTTACTAAAATAATTAAAATCAAATGCTTCCTGTTTTTTTCTTAAGTTTGTGAAAACTTTATTCAAATCATCACCACTCTCTTCTTTGTTGTTCTCGTCATGTAACCCTGTACTGTATGTTTTTATACATGCCATCTGTTTGATAGCTTTGCCCTGCGTAGGCAGGTCACACAGACCATAAAATCCAAATTGCTGGTCTGTAAAGACACTGTCACGCTGCCTTGGCTTCATGTCAGAACACTGGCAGTATCAGCCGCTGAGAATTAGATGAGAAACTTTCTTCTAGAATAATTAATTGTCAAAACAATGTTGTTTTCCTCTATCTGGCCACCCACTCATTCACTCACTGCCCCCCGCCCCCACACCCAAACACTAACATCACAGATTTACTTCTAATTGGACATGGTTGACTTGTTAATTCTTGAGTCACATTTCAGTCACTTACCATGACTCCTGCTTCTGTTCAGCTCCTAAACTCTGTTCTTCCTGTGGCTCTCAGGTTAAAACTCACTGTCTGGTCATGGCGGCTATACAAATAAAACACAAACCCACATCTGGCTCCTTTATTCTTACCTGTAACCAGAAGTGTTGATGGCAGATTGAGGGGTGGGGGGGTTCTGGTTTTAAATGAGTGTTGATGAAGTATTTTTTTGTTTGTTTGGTTTTTTTCCAGGGTATAAGTTCAATGCAGACAGTGTAGCAAGCACAGAGAAAAAGGTCCTGACCTACCATCGCATCGTGGAGGCATTTCGTTTTGCATACGCCAAGAGATCAATGCTCGGAGATCCGTACTTCCTCAACATCACAGAAGTAAGTTCAAAGGCTGAAGAAAAGCACAAGAAGGGTTGAGTTTGTTTACAAGATCATGCAGGGATTTATGCATTGAAAGAAGCTGTTTATGCATGAGATGATTCCTTTTAAATAATGATTAAATTGATGAAAAGATTCCTGGCTTCTAATATTACCAGCGCAACTTAAAATGCTAGGAAAACACAGTGGTTCCCAGAGTGGTGGGCACAATCCCTAGAAGGGGCGTGTTATGACTGGACAAACAAAACAAAACAAAAAGAATGCTTGGACACTGCTAGCATTATGGACAGGGTTTTGACCGGTCTCCCACATAAATACATAATAATAATAATAATGATAATAATAATAATGATAATAATAATAAATGTATAGCACCTTTCAAAACACAGTTACAAAGAGCTTTATACCACATTATAAAATCAAAATACATAAAATATGTGGGACAATTAAAAATGTAATCTAAAGCATACAGAAAATCAGCAGTTAATAGCCAACCTATATATGTTTTTAAAAGTTTTAAAAGCGAACATTGAAGAGGCTACAGTCTAATGATAAGTGGCAGTACATTCCATAAAACACAAGCCCTAAACAAAAAGCTAGGTAATCCTCTGTCTTCAGTCTTGCTCTGGGCACAATAGTGACTGATCAGATGATCTCAGAAGTCGCAGAGGATTGTAAGGAATAAGTAACTCAGTACAAGTCCATTCATTAATTTAAAAACAATACACTTTTGAAATAAACTCTTTAATACTAAAGCCAGTGCAAAGAAGCAAGGATTGGAGTACTATGATCATGGGTTCTGAGGACTCTACTTGCTGTATTTTGTACTAACTGGAGATGTTAAAGAGCTTTTTGAGGCAGACCAGCAGATAGAGAATTACAGTACTGGTAATCAAAATGACAAGAAACAAAAGTGTGAATGAGGGTTTGAGCATCAGTAAAAAGGATCATTGATCTTATTTTGGCAATATTCCTAATCTGTTGAAAGGAAGTTTTAATACTATTATAAAATGTTTTGTGAAGCTCAGATGAGAATCAAAAAACATCCCATGGTTCCTGGCCTCATGGGTACAATGGAAACCTGAAGAGTTGAGAATCAAAATAATAAGGTATCTGTGAGCCTTGGGACTAAACACGAGCACCTCAATTTTGCCATTGTTTAACAACAAAAAGTTATCAGATATCCAGACTTTAAAATCAGAGACGTGAACCTATATGTTAACAGCAGACAGATCAGATGAATCAATAGCTAAATAAATTTGAGTATCATCTGCAAAAAAAATGAAAAGAGATATTATTTGCAAACAACTTAAAGTGCAACATATCAATAGCAAACAGTAGTGGGCCAATAATGAGGCCTTGAGGAACGCCACAGGTAGGCTTTACAAAACCAGAGGAATCATTATCATTTGAAACTCAACTATCCATTAGACAGCTGCAGCTGATCCAGGACACTGCTGCTCACGTTTTGGCTAAACTGGCTGAAATAAATTGCAATGCAGTTTGAAAACCAAATATTTGTTTGTCTGGGAGATGTGGGAGCGAGGGCTGGGAGGTGTGGAAATTTTCTTATAGACCAAATGGGGCCCAGCAGAAACAGTTTGGGAACCACTAGAAAAAGACCAAAGGCTGATATTTGCTAAAATGTCACACTTATATCCAAATCAGTCTGTTTATTTTATTGTTAACACGGATTTTAAATGTTTGGAATATATATAAAATAGATTAATTTTTTTCTCCCTTCAAGTTAATCCACAACATGACTTCTACGTCTTATGCGGATAGTATCCGTGAAAAGATCACTGATGAAACAACCCACCCAATAAGTTACTATGAACCAGACTTTTACCTGCCAGACAATCATGGGACGTCACACCTGTCTGTGGTCTCAGAGGACGGAAGCGCCGTGTCGGCCACCAGCACCATCAACCATTTGTAAGACTTCTGCTTGACCAGACGCCACGTTCAGTCTCACGCCTGAATATAAAGGTTTATTGTCTCATTGCAGTTTGGGCTCCAAAGTCTTGTCGAGATCAACGGGGATTCTTTTCAACAACGAGATGGACGACTTCAGCTCCCCGCTCATCACAAATGGCTATGATGTTCCTCCGTCCCCGAACAACTTTATCAAGCCAGGTCAGATTTTATGTGCTTACATGACAAAACTTTTGACTTTTTAATCTTTCTCTATGTCACTCATGGGAGATGCAGCCCTGTTCTTAAATACAAAACAAAACCGGTCATGTTTTACTTCAGGTGAATTCAAGCAAAGTCTAAATTAAATGTCTTATTCATCTAAAAATTCAGGACCAAAATTAGCCAGAACATTTTGATTCATCTGGTCAGTCACTGTTTGCCATTCTAGAACCAGACTGAACAGAAATGTCCCCAAAATTCGAAAGTACACCTATATTTTGGACATTTTAAACTGAATACAAGTGTCAGTTTATATAAAATATGTCAGATTCTCCAAACAAGAATCAGGGAAATCTTTAACCACTGGCCATGCTAACTATGTTACAACTTGTCCAAACAAATACTGGGGAAAAAAAATTAAATGATTTGCCTGAAAATAAATATTTATTTTTAATTCAATATGTGACCCTTTTGATTGCTTTAAGTAACTTTGTATGGCCGTCTGGAGACTCTATGATGGTACGCGACAGTGGGAAGAAACAACTCCCTTTTAACAGAATATTTAATGAAAACCTTGAACCACAAATTATTTTTAACATTTATTTTCAAGGAGTCAGTCTCTTGTAACCCTTCATACTCTGTTTTTACCATTCTGACAGGTTTCTGAGGTCTTAAAAATCTGTAAGATATAACATTAAAATACCACTGGAGTTCAGGAAAGTCAACAAATTATAAGTGTTTGTGACAATCTAATCATACCAAAAAAGGTGCCTTCAAAAACCATATCTTTATTCTTAATGTGTTTGCATATACACGTCCTGAGTTTGGTGTTTATTATATGCATTAATTGTACATGAATTCTATATTATTTATATGAATATCATTTACAATGACTTAAGTGACAAATGAACTGTTTAAGTGAAACATCAGCATAATGAATCATCCCGTTTTGTCACCAGGGAAAAGACCAATGTCTTCGATGTGTCCAGCCATCCTTTTTGACAAAAACAACAAAGTAAAGATGGTGGTCGGAGGTTCAGGAGGAACAAAAATCACCACTTCTGTTGCTCAGGTAAAACATACACATCTCGATACAGCCAGTGTTGATTTAAAGTGGTTTTATCTGTTATATTAATATATTAAACTTAAGAGTGCCATTATTAAAATTTTTAACTTTGAAATTATAACTGTTAATTGCTCTATTGCAGGTTATTCTGAATGCTCTGTTCTTCAACTATGATCTGAACAAAGCTGTAACAGAACCGAGGTTCCACAACCAGCTGAGTCCCAACAAAACCGAGGCAGAACCTGACTTTGACAAAGTGAGTGTCATGAAGTGCAAACAACACTGATATATGTAACTAATATGATGGTGGCGTGCTGCACAGGGAGACAATCTTTCATCCCCAAACCGATGAACAACAAATACTTTTACCTCGGCCACCTGAGACACTGTTCGTTACATTCATCCTGAGGGATCAGGGTTCTGTCACAGAGAAGTTTTCAGCTCCGGTTGAGATAATTTTACATTCATGTTTTCGTATTTCTATGACTACTTCTGCACACTTTACCATACACACACGCCAAAATGCTAAGGTAATTCAGGGGATAAGTGTTAAGCATTTTCTTTTTGTGACTTTTATATTTTTCAAAAAATTTCAGGTTTATTGATAAATGTTTTCCTCATAGAGATGTAAAGAGGATTTCAGGTTTAGATGCTTAAGTTTTTTTTTATTTACTATTTTAGGCTTTAGCTACTATTCCTTTACTTATAGCTTCCTTTGTGCTATTTTATTTTATTTTATTTTTATCCAGATTTTATTTACTTTTACTTTAGGTAACCTTTTGATAGCCTACTTTTAGAGAGACTTTGGATACTTTTGCTTTTAATTAGCCTTTTGCTATTTTTAGCTTTTAGCTGTATTTTTCTACATTTAGCCTCTAGTCTTTTTTTTTCTGATTTTAGCTCTTAGTCACCTTATCCTACATTTTGCTTTTAATCAGTTCTTCTAAACGAAGTGATTTTGCTACTTTGTGTTTTCAGATTGTTGCAGTAGCAGATTGTTTAGATGCAGTTTTTAGCACCAGTTAACATTCTTCCATATAGCTTCTAGCTAATCTTTTGCTACTTTTAGTTTTGCTTTTATTAACGCTTTGCATAGGTTTTTTTAGTTTTAGCTGCCATTCTTCTGCTTAGCTCTTCTAACTAATCTTTTCTCAATCCAATTTTAGCTAGCATTTTGCTACTTTTAGCTAGGGATTTGCTCTTTTTAGCTTTAACCTCGCAGGGTTTCAGCAAAAATAAATAAATAAATAAATAAATAAATAAATAAATAAATAATCTTTTCCTGTCTTCCAGAATATCCTGGATGGTTTGATGGAAAAGAACCACGAGACAAAATATCTGACTTCAACAGGAGCTAACATTCAGGCTGTGGTCCGATATGAAGACGGTCTGCTCGCCAAGTCGGATCCTCGTAAATTTGCGTATGCAGCTGGGTACTGAGGTCATCAGCACACCTCATGCAGCGTGAATGTTTGAACTTTGACACCATCGGTTAAAACCTTACGGATTAAAACCTTAAAGCCAACAACAACCATCAATAATGTGAGACAGGTGTTCTGCACAAAGTTACAATAATGTTCCATCACACAGTGTTTAAGTTATTTCTAATCTCTGCTGAATTTGTGTGTCACATTATGGTTTTGTAAGTAATAAAAATGTAAAGCATGTTTTTAAAGGAAGTTATGCATCGTTTTAGACATTTATTTGAAAAAACGAAATCAGTGCAACACAAAAGTGCTGATCCTACACTTTTTAAGACAAAGCACAATGTTTGGGATCACACATCACAAAAGTTCAGATTCTTACCTATTTATTAAGTACTTTTTGAAATTATTATCAGACTCCGGCTGCCTTTGGCTGTTAAACATGAGGTATAGGAGGATGATGGGTAACAAAGAGCTCAGTCTGTAACACCTCAGGGACAGATTGTTCCAGCAAAAACGATAATGACTCAAAATAATTTCCCACAGCCCTGAGTGCAGCAGTAGTGACCTCATCTTATTATATCTGGTGAACCCCCCCCACCCCCACCCTCCATCACCACTGGGATCAAGGAGTCATCTCTTCTCCCCTGAATGAAAATGCTCTTAATGTTTTGGATGATGTTTCAATAAAGGGATTTTACAAGAAGAAAGATTGTTTATTAATGATGGTTTTTTTTCTTTATGTTGACCATTTTTGTTGCACTTTTATCATCTCCTGCAGAAACTGCTTCATTACACCTCTTGTAATGAAGTCAAAGTTCTTAAACTTTTCAAGTGGAGTTCTGTGAACATGTTATGAAGAAGTAATATGTTACTTGTTGCAAAAACCTCTTTAAATGACCTCAACTTCCCAATATATTTACAAACCAATCTGTTTTTTTTGTGTGTGTGTGAGCAAAGAGCACTTCAACAGAGTGCCCCCTCATGATGTTTCATGTGTTGCTCAGTGCAGGACCTGGGGCACATGTTCTTGAACGAGTGCAAACTGTAATTTCCCTCTCAATAAAGTATTATTCATTCATTCAATTCCTTAATATTTCAGTTGGATTAAATAAGTGATGTAAAACTGACATCCAATCACTTTGGTTATGGCTGTACTCAGATTAAAACTCTATTTTTCTAAACTGAAGTCGTTTTAAAATGCATCTGCAACTTGTAAGATATTTATTGTTTATAACCTTTTCACAAACCTTACTTAAAAAAATTTGAACTTTATCCTTAAAACTTGGTCCACTCGTATAAAAAGTGAAGTATTTTTTATGTGAGCTAAATATCATTGTCAGGCTTTGGGACAAATTTATATCTCGTTTCTCAGACTGGCTTCAGACATTTGCCACTGGGAGGAAGACTTGGGGCAGAAACAGGAATCGTTGAAGAGGTTATTACAGGATCTCTCGGCTGGCCTGGGAACGCTTCGATGATCCTCTGAAAGAGCTGAAAGATGGATCTGGGAGGAGAGAGATCTGAAGCAGTCTGAGACACAGAGTTGAGGATGTGGGTTTTGCACATAAAAAACTTACCATATGTATATACATATACAGCGGGTAAAATAAGTATTGAACATGTCAGCATTTTTCTCAGTAAATATATTACTAGAGGTGCTAATGACATGAAATTTTCACCAGATGTCGGTAACAACCCAAGTGATCCATACATACAAAGAAATCAAACCATAAAYGTCCAGAAATGAAGTTATTTGTAATAATGTGGAATGGCACAGGGAAAAAGTATTGAACACATGAAGAAAGGGAGGTGTAAAAAGGCATGGAAAGACAAGACGCCAGCTGAACTCTCTCAGTAATTAGAAAGCAAGCCTGCCCCTTGTCAGTGCAAGTTAATATCAGCTGGTTCAGTCCCAAATGATGGCCAGGTATCACACAAGAACCATCTGATGATGGGTAAAAGTAAAGAGCTCTCTCAAGACCTTCACAACCTTATTGTTGCAAAGCATAATGATGGCATCGGTTACAGAAGAATGTCTAAACTTCTGAAGGTTCCAGTGAGCACTGTTGGGGCCATAATTCAGAAGTGGAAAGAACATCATTTCACCATAAACTGACCACGACCAGGTGCTCCTCACAAGATTTCTGACAGAGGAGTGAAAAGAATTATCAGAAGAGTTGTCCAAGAGCCAAGGGCCACTTGTGGAGAGCTTCAGACAGACCTGGAATTAGCAGGTACGATTGTTTCAAAGAAAACAATAAGTAATGCACTGAACCACCATGGCCTGTATGCACGCTCACCACGCAAGACTCCACTGCTGAAGAAACAGCATGTTGAAGCTCCTTTAAAGTTTGCTGCACAACATTTAAACAAGCCTGTCTAATACTGGGAGAATATAGTCTGGTCAGATGAGACCAACATTGAACTGTTTGGATGCCAGAATACACATCATGTTTGGAGGTCAAATGGCACTGCACATCAGCCCAAAAACACCATACCAACAGTGAAGTTTGGAGGTGGGAACATCATGGTGTGGGGCTGTTTTTCAGCATATGGTACTGGCAAACCAAATAATTGAAGGAAGGATGAGCGGAAAAATGTACAGAGACATTCTTGATAAAAATCTGCTTCCATCTACCAGGATGATGAAGATGAAACGTGGCTGGACATTTCAGCAAGACAATGAGCCCAAACACAAAGCCAAGGAAACTCTCAGTTGGTTTCAGAGAAAGAAACTAAAGCTGCTGGAATGGCCCAGCCAATCACCTGACCTGAATACAACAGAAAATCTATGGAAAGAACTAAAGATCAGAGTTCATAGAAGAGGTCCACGAAACCTTCAAGATTTGAAGACTGTTTGTGGAAGAATGGGCCAAAATCACACCTGAGCAATGCATGCCACTAGTTTCTCCATACAGGAGGCGTCATGAAGCTGTCATTGACAACAAAGGCTTTTGTACAAAGTATTAGATAAATTTCAGTAAATGTGTTCAATACTTTTTCCCTGTGTCATTCCACATTATTACAAATAACTTCATTTCTGGACATTTATGGTTTGATTTCTTTGTATGTATGGATCACTTGGGTTGTTACCAATCTGGTGAAAATTTCATGTCATTAGCACCTCTAGTAATATATTTACTGAGAAAAATGTTGACGTGTTCAATACTTATTTTACCCGCTGTATATATATTATCATTGCCAAACAGATTATTTTGCTTTTGAGCCTTGTTTGATGTTCTTAGTAAGTTTGCTGAAGTTGGTTGCCAGCTTCACTGTATTTGAACAGATGTAAAGTTACTTGTTTAGATCCAGTATCATGTTGTTGCTGAGTTATGCATCAGAGTTTTTTCTACATCAACCAACCAGATCGCATAAGGCTACGTTCACACTGTCATTCACATTTTATTTTAAACACGACTTCCATCAGACTCCAGTGTGAACTCCCCACGGCCCTGATGCGACCCACATGCACAGAACTTGACATGACGTCACATTCATCTCACTGTTTACAGAACCATGGATGCTACATGTTAGCATATCAGTTCTGAAATAGTTGTGCAATCAGAGCAGATTATAATTCAAAACCTGCCTCTGATTAGACGTTTCCGGGCAGCATTTTATTTTTTAAAGGAAGCGATGTGCTGAAAGTAAAGTATCGATCAAGTAGCTTTAGTATTGATACGGTCTGAAACATACGTTACTGTCAAATGTTTGTGTGGACTCTCAGTCATCCAGGACATGGAAAAGGAAAAGAAAAAAAACAAAGCAACTGGACTTGTTAGAATCATTATTATTATTTAGATTAATCCGCTCACCCCCACCTGTTTGATAAATAATGGTTCAGACTGAGTTGCTTTAAAAACATCAGATATGTATCTTGTTTAGCACCACATACTAAAAATGCCTGGGTCAGATAAATTATTTTTTGGATTTGTCGCTTTCAGACTGTCACAAAAAAAACAAAACAATCCTGTGTGTACCTAAATAAACCTCAAAAGAATGCTCAAAAGTTGACAGTGTTCAACTATTCCTCCATGTTTGCTTCTTATTATTTATTGACAGCAGCATTTAGACCTACAAGGAGTGAAAACTAAACTAATAGACACATTTTTTATATTTGTTCATTCTTACACTTTAACCAAATGACCAGAATAAAAATGACAAATTTTTAGTGTATACTGGTTTGAGTTATTTTTGTAGTAAGCTTCGTGCTTTTCTGCAGAATTAAAAAAAAAACAGACCTTATCACAGTCACACTGGAATCTTCCTCAAAGGCCCAATTAAGCACAGTTCAACATTCACATACTGTAGTTCTGATGAACAGTTATGCAACCCCAATAGGCCAATTTATTAAACCTGCAGGCACGAAGAAAAGTCTGCAGTCTTCACATGTCCTTTTACCTTGAGTCATTGCTGTGGATTGCTTTCCGACAGATTAAACTAGCGACCCATACGAAATGCTTGTTGCTGAAATAATTTGCTTCATTAAAAGACTTTGTGACTGAATCAGCAGATCATTTAACTGCCTCAAGTTTAAATAAAAGCCATTTGCTATTGAGATATTTCTGCAGAGTTAAAAAAAAAGCTTAATTTTAATGGCTGTTCTCTGCAGAACGACTCTAAGCTGCAAAATCTTATCAAGATTAACACATTTTTCATTCAACAAAGACAGTTCCACTTCACACAGACAGAAATCTGCCTCCCTTATAACTCACATTGAGTGGCTCTAAGGGGAGCGGAGCAGAATCCATTTAAGAAATCATTACTAATTCATAAGTTTCTCAACAGAAAATGTATGTCATTGCTCTTTTTTTCATCTCAATACTGCTCTCAAATAAGTCAAATTGTAAAACATAAGGTAGTTTACTGCTGGTAAGGGCGGCAGCATTGCTCAAAGGTTTATGAAACCTTTTTAAAAAAGTAATTTTTGTAGATTTGCATAAATTTAAAGCCTAAGGTGTGATGTGTTCACCGGAGAAAGACAAGAGAATGTGCTGAATGCATTAAGTAAAGAGGTGCAGAATAAATGTGTGTAAATGAGGGATTGTGAGTAGTAGAAGAGGACTCGGAGTGATCGATAATTCTAAAAAAAACCTCGTAAATGCATGGCATTTCAAAGCTTTTCATTTGTAAGAAAAAATTTGACTGTGTGAAGTAAACTTTAGAGCTTTGTAGATTTCTGATCTTTTCATAAAACAAAGAACCCACCTTTGTTTGTCAAGCTAAGCGCTAATGCTAAAGGATTTATAGGATTGTAAATATGTTAAACATGTAGCTATAAATGAACACATTGCATTTGTACTTGTTGTCAACTTTGATCCTAATAAGGCTGTTTAAGGTTAAATTTACACAAAATGCCAAATAGGGGTCTGTGTAGTAACTAAATGGGAGGTTCTTGGATGTGGGCGGAGTTTGTGAAAACTGTGATTGGTCTTACTGGCGTGTGAGAGACGTTAAAAAATGTTACCGTCATGATTTACTAAAAGGAAGTGTTGATTGACATAATGCTGTTGGTGTTTTATGGTAATTATTCATTTCTAATTATTAATTGTCAATATAACTTATTGATTTCAATCTGGTGCTTCTAGGACCTTCCTGTCTTGACTAATGACTATTTACAAATTAGCAACCGTTATGTAGGCACTTTCTGGCCTTTTCGACTGAGCTGAATTGGCACACGTCCCCTCAGCTGCCCAACGTTCATCCAACTGAACCATTATGGCTTCTGTAAACCTCAGTCAAAATATTCAATCCAATCCTGTATTTCATAAACTCCTCCCACACCAAGTCAAACAGACCAATCATGTCTTTCACAAGCTCCGCCCACATCCAGGAATCTCCCACTTAGTGACTGCAGAGACCCCTTCATCAAAATGCAGAAATTCACAAGTTTGTTTATTTTTATTGCTCATTCAGAATTCTGACAACAGGAAATGAAAGTTAAAAGCAAAACAACGAGCTGCCAAAGTGTTTTGTTAGAGCACAAATGTTCTGGTACACAAGAAAGTTTTAGACACAAAGTTTATTGTAACAACATGAAGATCACACATGAACAGCTGAAATAAATCACAAACATGTATTTAGTAAAAAAAAAGGTAACAAAACACAATATATAAAAATATATTTTTTTCTTTTTGCAGTAAAATGTTTTTTTTAATATATTTTTAGTTAGTTTTTATGTTTTTTCACCATGTGGGCTGAAATAAAAAGCACTTCTTCAACATACAGTAAGTCCTAAAAGTCACAGTTTAAGTTCTCTGACATGGTGGAAATGATGTCACTTTAAAAAGGGTAAATGACTCATCTACAGGAGAAAATTCTGACAAAACACTTCTTAGTTCAATTGGAAAGATAAAACATTTTGTGAGACTGTCAGACTCAGTAGTGAGGCACAGGAAAGTTGTTTTTCCAAAACCCAGTGGAAAATGTTCACAACTGTCATACACAAGAATGTTTATGACGCTTTTTAGGTTTATCTTGCTGTGTGTTTACTTTAAAATCCAATGAGTTTCTGTTCAAGATACTGTGATGTGTTCAAAGAGGAGAGAGTAATGAGTGGATGGAGCTAATCAAAGGAAATGATGTCACATTTGACAGGTTGTGCTGTTATCTTCACCAACTGTTTGCTCTGATTTGCCTTTACTTTCTTTTAATCAAAAAGTTTTAAAAATCACTTCCAGTTAAGATTTATTCATTCATTTAAGCTCATGTCATGTCCCTATTTGTGTATTTTTTTTGCAACAGCTGATGTTATTTTACCCAGATTGGAGACATTTCTCAGAAAAACGGATGAATGAAAATGTTTAAAGCACAATTTTTTCACATTTTGTCAGCAAAGCCGCCGATCACTCATTGTTCCTAAGGCCAAAGGTTCAGTCAGTCTATAATTACAGGTCACGCATCCACATAGTTAGAATCCAGCAGACACTCCCATCTTCCTTCTGTCTGACACAGCCTCGATGCAACCATTCTCCTTTTCCAAACCGTTGACTACATTGAAAAAATATGGCCAAGTTCCAACTTTGTGTCCAAGAGCTGTGAGGCCTTTTTTCACCGACTGAGAACAAACAAAACATTTGTGAATTAGTAACAATTTTCAAAACTGATTAAACAACATTTCCTCTGAAGACCTTTCATTTCTTTTAACTTTGGCTACTTTTCACTCATTGAGTGAAAAACAGATTTTTGACAGATTTTCTTTCTTTCTTTCTTTCTTTCTTTCTTTCTTTCTTTCTTTCTTTCTTTCTTTCTTTCTTTCTTTCTTTCTTTCTTTC